CTTTTAAGATTTCTCACCTTAAGATCTCTCAGATGTGGGTTACATGTTAAATATTCACGCTCTATTCATAGTGATTCTGTGGCACTATAATATTAAGCAAAATTGTGCTTATGACAAATTGTTTGGATGCTACAGAATGTGTCATTATTCTACTTATCTTTCCTTGTCTTATGACTTATGAGAACATTTAGACAGATGTTTTATTATTGATCAGTAGCAAAACCTGAAGATTTGAATCAGTTCTGGAATCATTTCAGATCTCTGACTCAATGATTTGTTTCATTGTTCAAAAAAGTTTATAGATTTTTTTTTTTTAATTCTACATTTAGATTTTGGTTTATTTTTTCTATAATAAATGTAGCTATTTAACATTTACTTATATGTATAATTGTTGTTTCTATTTTAAAAAATACCATTTGAAATGTAAGATAAATAAAATAATTTATTATTATAATACAATTATTTATTTTTTTGAATAATTGTTTGAGCTATATTTCTCTGTCCTGCCATTAAGTAGAAAATTACTAAAAGATTCGTCAAGCTCTCTGTCTCTGCTGAGGAGGCCACATTGTCAGTGTCATATATTTACATAAGGATGGCGGTTTGCCCAGCTCTGAAAATGTATAGGGCCCCATTCCTATATTTTGCCTGGGGCCCCCAATTCACTAAATCCGCCCTGCTCTGATTCAGCAGCTTTTTGCAGTAATATAGGGTCTTATCACTGAGCGAAAAGCTTTGATGGGGTCTGTGTTTTCCAGAGGTAATCACACTGAGTTCTTGCAGAGGGCAGGAAAGCAGTTTAAAAAGCTCAGTCCAGCATGACCTCTTTTTGAGGGGGCTTAATCAATAAACAGATAAGAGATGCCGTTTCAATTCACATTCCTCTCTTTATCTTGCCATTCGTTTTTGTATGAATTGAGTTCTGTATGTGGGAGACTGGCTTTGCAGTGCCGTTTGCTTCATGTGTAAATTTGTATTTGATAGAACCGGATGGAAATTCTCAAAAATATTCAGCTTGCTTCTTTGAAGATTAGCTAGTCCTCTGTGCATTTCTCAAGCTTGAACAGAGGATTGTTTGAACACTGCCATGACTATTGCTACAAATATCAACCTCAGCTCCTAAACAAATTTTAGTCTCTCGTCTTCCCTGCTTAGAGCTTTCACTTCCTCCTGTTTTCATTAAGAGGAAGAAAACACAGGGGCATTGCTTTGTGTATTTTCTTCTTTTAGAAGCACATGCAGAGAGCACCTCAGGGAAGAATTAAAACAGAAAGGATATTTTTAGACCTCCGACAGAGGGCTGTCCCTTGTAGGTGCTAAATCACTCTTATTTTAGAAATGGTGCCTTGGCCTAAATCAGTCACTGTTGTATTAACCTAGACCTGCTGTGTGCCGCCCCATCGCCCTCCAGGCTCCAGTAGCGGTTCCCGACTCAGACGGCTCACTTATTCAAATGATCACCCTT